TTCAGCCCTTCTTGAACATCATGAGTATTTACATGAGCCACCCATCCAGTTATGTATATTTTAGTTGGAGCGTTTGCTATCTTTGTCTGGTTTTGAGTGCTGACTGCATTTCATGAAGTACAGTAAAGACTAAAATCAAGCACGTGTTGCGATGCAAACGCCAACACCTATTTTTGTAATTGTCTGGGTTATTTGGCAAGTGCTGGAGTGCTTCATTTAGATAGCGTTTGAAAGCACCTTTCGGTAGTTCAGTAATTAAACTTTTTTCCACTAGATATTGACACGGTGGCATTTGTGAATGTTTTTTTTTTTATTAAATAAAGGCAAAATGTAAACATGAATCATCTAATCTGTAAGAATTGTTCCGCTCAAAATGTGCCCCAACCGGAGATTAAGCCACCTTGTTCAGTCGTAACTAGAGTGCCAAGCCTAACGTTTGCAGCTGGTGCAATGTCAGGATGTCAGGTTTTATAGCCCTCGTATAGTTCATAGTTTTATATATTTTTGACAAGTGAGAGCAGGAGTAGGGGGCCAACAAGTTATATTCCTCATTCCATCTCAAACGGCCCCAAACAACCTTCTCCAGTACTTGCGAAGAGACTAATTCAAGAGCTCTTATTGTTTGACTGATAATTGTTTTATTCCTTTTTCAAGTGCTTTGAGGTTTTGGTCATACTCAAAATGGTTTTCTTTTATGGCTAGCTTGCATTTGTTTACAATAGCCAACTTGTTATTGTCTAAAGGCTCAAAGGCCAGACAACACACCATTGTATAGGTTTTATAGCTAATATTTACCATATATCCATAATACAGGATTTTGGGGTTAGATCACGTAAATATATAAATGTGGTGTTAAACCCGCCACCACCCGACACAGCCAACTGGTAAGGTTTGTCACGTAAACAGAACATGCCAATTCGTCACTAGTACAGCACACCGGTGTGTTGGAGAGCAAAGCCGCAACATTTACAATCTGAGTTCGATTTTACGCCAGTAATTACAACTAGCTTCATCAGGCGACTGCCAGATTGGTGGCGAAATCCTCCTGTTCGGTTCCTAAAATGGTGGCAGAACATGCATGCCAACAAGGACACTAATTTATTTTGAAGTTCTGTGCAAAACTAGTTCCTCCTGGCCAAGACTAATTAGATCATCTATAGAAATTGAGAGAAATAAAAATAATTTAACTGTTCCGATATTCACAGACTTAGTGTTGCTTGGAAGCGAATCATCAAATAATATAATACATTTTCCTTTGGAAAATAAATAATATAAATTCCTGCAGTCACGAAAAAACTTTAAGTCAAAATATAAAACATTGTTTAAATGCATGCCTATACTGGATGTATTTTATTCATTGTCAGCTTAACAGGCCACAACCTGCTGATGATACTCGGTTAAATCGGTTGGTTTGAGGACATTCGGTTAAATCCTTGATGTGACAATCGCTACTGGGTTACGCCGATTATGAAGGACTGTTGCCTTGAAATTAAACTTGATTTCATTTATATGATTAAATCCAATTGTCTTTTACGTGAATGAGTGGTATCAGACTTTGTGAATGTAAAATGTATTATTAATCACTGCTCCCCATCTCTCTGCAGGGTGGAATGTGCTCAGTTTACCTCCCTGACAGCGACAAAGTAGTGAGCATTGCCAGTGACCATCTAGAGCCAGTTATCCCTGCAAAATATGACAAGGTAAGAAAACTTGTAGTCTGCGTGAGCAATCGAGTGTTCAGTAAGGGCTTGACATGAAAAGTGTTGAGAGAATGAGTAATAAAATTCAACTAAGTTGAAATCCACAACTCCTTGTATCCACATGTTGTGCAAGGAAATCATCCTGTTATCCGTGGGTTATTTGCATTTTGTTATTCTCAGATAAGACGAGTACATTTTAAGATAACCCTGCGGGTAACAGATAACAGTATATGCGGTATTGGTCCCCATAGCACTTGGGATAAGAGGAGTTCCGTAGGTTTGTTTATTAATTGTTTTCATCTTATTTATAATTACATTAGAATAAAAACACAAACATTTAATATTGGTTCCCAAACATTCACAAACCTGCAGCGACTCGCGTGGTCAAGTATGGGTCACGGTGAGGCCTTCGTCTCGAAGTAGACTGATAAAGTTCTGTAAGTTGGTAAAAAAAAAACATTTACATATCGATAAGATATACAAAGTTACGTGACCAAGCACATGTTACAGCTCTGTTTGGGTTTAATTTTGACAATCGGTTTGTTATATAGAATGAACGAGACTTTTTAAATTGAAGTGTGCATAGATTTTTTTTTCCATCTTCTCTTCTTGCAACTTCAACGACCATTTGGATGCTTTTGGTTTCAGGTCAAGGTGATCCTGGGCGAAGATCGTGAAGCAACTGGGACTTTAATCAGCATCGACGGAGAGGATGGCATCGTTCGCATGGAGCTGGACAACCAGCTGAAGATCCTCAACCTGCGCTTCCTGGGAAAACTGGAGACCTAACCCAGCCGTGCCCCCACACCGAAGCAGGCGGCACATCGGTTTGTGAACATAGAAATGTGAGTGGGTCATAGCCCCACAAATGTTTAGGTGGTCCCCACTCTCTCCCCAACTGTTCCGATTCTTACTTAGTGTTGCAATAACAAAGGACATGTGATTGTGACCGCATTTCAGAAGCACTTCCTTGCAATGCACCAGTAAATCTGATAAAGAGCATTTTTGGAAGGTATTGTCCAGCTTTTTGGACAATACATGGCCACACTTTTTAAAACTCATAGTTATGCCTGATTTTTTCCTTTTTCAGAGCTTATATTTTTCAGAGCCATTATAATGCAGTTTCAAAATATGCTCTTGTAATATTTTGATTTCTTACCTGGTCTTGTATTAAATTGCAAATGTATACAATGTACGGATTATGGTGTGGACAGTCCTAAGGCCACACATTCTATTCAAATCGACTTTGTCAACTCATGTCCATCTAATTGCTTGGGTTGTCCAAATTCCCAACTTATGTGTTTATGTATTTGTGGTTGATATGCACCACGGAATATAGCTCCACAACTTTTTTCATTTTACCCTTATTGTACACGAGACATAAATATGTTCAGAGTGGGGTGAGTGGGAACATGGTTGTTGTAAAGACGAAACAGTTGGCAAACTTGTTTATAAAACCTATCTGAGCATGTTTGCCAAAAGGTCCTTGTTTGATAAATTTATGTTCAGAGCTTCAACATTTTGATTACAGCTTTGGTCGTGACCTTGCTTGTTTAACAAGCACTGATCTTATGTTGAAGCAGAAGTATTTGTTCCTTTGAATATTGCTTGCTTTCAAGTTCATTTGTGTTTGCATCAAATCATTGCAAGGCACATTAACATTTAACGTGTGAACATTTCTCTTTCTATTGCCAGTTTGATATTAAGATAGAATACTTGTCTTGATGAAAGCCTAATGGGAAAACCTGCAGTCGAAGACATAACAATGATGCAATTATCAGTGGTATGTTGCATTTTAATTGTTCTCAGAAATGTCACCATACAGTTCATAAGGGAGTACATAATTGTGTAAGTTACAGTAATTACATTTGGGAAGCATTATTCTAAACAAATATAAACTGAAAGCATGGTCCACTTGCATTATGGTTCATCTCCCAGAAACAGTGCCTGCTGAAAAGATGCCATTTGTTAGAATGAGATACATTCAATGAAAGTACGTTGCAAAATAGTTCGTGTCATTACCGAAAAGTACACAGCAATAGTTTACCCGGAAGATAGAACAGTTTCTGTAAATGTTGCAGTGCGACTAAAACCGAACTAAATTTCAATGTCCAGTTTAAATTATCCACTAACCATTGTAGAATTTGGTGCCATTTTATTTTAGAATAGTCTTGTATTTAGAGCTGTAATTCACATGATTTTTCTTTGACATGTAATCGTGTGCTCTGTTATTTGCTTATAGTGTACCAGTGGTAGTAGCCATTAACCCTACGTGTAATGTTGTTTAAAATACAGCATTTGTCACAGAAGTTGCAACATTGTAAAATTCGTCCCGATACTGTTTTAAAGCAAGTACAGTAAAGTGCTTTGGCCGTCTAATATGTTGAACATGGTGAGCTGTAATTAACCTTGGTTAAGTCTGTTCACTTATAACTCTGGATGTATAATAAAACAATAAAACACATCATGACAAGCGGTGTGATGTTAATCGATAGTATAATTATTCTGTGATGCGTTCAGTTTTTCCCCAAATCGTGAAGTGCACATACTGTGACAATCGCCCACAATGCGCCTGATCCCGTCTCACCTCGTAAGTTAAGCAGGGTTTGAATCTGCAAAGTGCTTGGATGAGGTGACCACCATAGCCCAAGGGAAGGTGTGTGCTTTGCGTATTCGAGCAGTACGGCCAAAGTACACAGTTGTGTGTCTGCCGCCTTCAAAGTGCACCTTTCAAATAATTCCGAATGAGGCGTTTATTGTGGATGTCCCCGTTTATTCCACTTTGTTCGCACAGCGGTAGCGTTCCTCCGGGTCTGGGTTTTAAATTCTCGTTTAGTGGTGACAGCAGTGGAGTCTCCGAAGGGTTGGTTTGGATCTGGGATGCAAGAGGTCGTGGGTTCGATACCCCGACCCTGATGGCTGTTGTATATTTGGAGTTTGAATGTTTCTCTCCCCGTGGTCGCGTGGATTGTTTTTCTACGGGTCCTCCGGGTTTTCCCTCCACATTTAGAAACGTGCGTTTAAAATATTTGGCTGAGAAACATTTCCACATGATGATAAGCCACTTCGTTGAGCTATCATTTGTGGCCAGGTCGCTTCTGAAATATAACTAATAGCTCAATGGGCTTTACCGAGTAAATAAAATAAAAGTTTAGTTTATTTTAGTGATTTGCTTTCCTACACTATGCGTTCCGCTCGGGTTTAATTTTTATGTTTGTGGTAACTTTCTGACCCGCCCCGACTGGACATCTGTAAAAAAAAGCTTCATATCTCATGACATTTCTCCAGTCTAAATAAAGAATGAGTGAAAACAAGAGCTTCATCGCCCTTCGGATTTCTCCGGTCTCAATAAAGATTGTGATGGCGAGGAGACTACGTGGCCCTGGCTCCCACAGCAAGACCAAGACAGCAACGTGTCGCGTGGTGACGTCATCCCCCCAACCATCTCCACCCCCCCCCACCATCTCCACCCCCCACCATCTCCACCCCCCCACCATCTCCACCCCCCCCCCACCATCTCCACCCCCCCCACCATCTCCACCCCCCCCACCATCTCCCCCCCCACCATCTCCACCCCCCCACCATCCCCCCCCCCCACCAACCCCCCCACCATCTACCCCCCACCATCTCCCCCCCCACCATCTCTACCCCCCCCCATCTCCCCCCCCCACCATCCCCTTCCCCACCATCCCCCCCCCCCCACCATCTCCCCCCCCCACCATCTCCCCCCCCCACCATCTCCCCCCCCCACCATCTCCCCCCCCACCATCTCCCCCCCCATCTCCCCCCCACCATCTCCCCCCCCCACCCTCCTCGTGGGCGGTGCCACCCCGGAACGTGTTCCGCGTGCTGCGCGCGGCACTTCGCGCCTTTGGTTCCGGGTTGCCGTCGTCAGCCGGTGCGGGCGGGCGGGCTGCGTGAGCCGCAGTAACTCGCGCCAGGGCTGCGTGGCGACTTGTCGGGGTTTAGTTTATCACGTCTCTCCACCTGCCGTTGCCTTTTTAGCGGATTTTACACACACACACACGTTTACTTTGGTAGTGTATTTATTTTAAGTTTAATTATGTAAGGAGGAAAAGTGTTTGAGCAAGCCCCGTGGGATATCGAGCCGTGTTTGTAGTTTTATCATTCGACGTGGCTGCCCGTGTACAGTGGGACGAGCTTGGGACGCATGCGGGTTTACAGCGGGAGCTCTGTGAGGCCAGCGGCCTCTCTCTCGTGCTCACCACCACCACCATCACCACCACAGCAGCACCAGCAGCAGCACCCAGCAGCACCAGCAGCAGCAGGGCGCCTTGCTGCGTGTGAACTTACGGGGTAAGGGGGGAGGCACGACACGGCCCCTCTGGCGGGTGAGCTGCTGCGAGGAGGGGGAGGGAAGCCTCATCCCAGTGGGGCTTGTCCCGGGGAGGCGAGGGTGTCGCAGGTCATGAACTTGGTTGTCCACAAAGAATTTAGCCACGGTTAGAGTCAGTCCCGTCCCTGGCGAAGTGGACCCTGACTCGGGTGTAGTGAGCCCCACAGCCACTTACAGCGGCGTACAGGGTCAGTTTCACATCTATTGTGTTGTTTATCGTGATCCTTGCTCAAGCCGAGCCTCCAGCTGGGTAGTGGGTGCCCGCTCGGGTAGCGTGGGAGCTCGGTAGAGTTCCAGCGAGACGACGTTCCCAGGTAGAGTAGCCGACGTTGTGTGAGTTCCACGCAGAGTGCAGCTCGGGTAGAGTTGGGTTCCCCATCGCTGTCAGAGTGAATCTCGTCCCAGCAGGACGGAGTGGTACCCCCCCTCACCCCTCAGGGCCGTGATGTTGACGCGTCCACCTCGTCCGTGAGCTCCACCACGAGGCCCCTTGGGGGTGGCGAGGCGGACGGCGGCAGAGATGAAGGCGACCGCCAGGGGGGTAAGAAGCTGTGTGCGGACGCCTGTGAGCAAGAGTCGTACGAGGACCGGCAGGAGAACGAGCTGGAGGTGCTCACGGCCATCTACGGCGGCGAGTTGACCGACCTGAGGAAGCAAGACCCATGGAAGGTGCCGTGACAGCCCAGCCCGCCCGCCCGCTCGTGTGCTGCTGTTTGGGCCAGCTGTGATGTTGCGCGCCTGTCAACCTGTCGACCCACACGGTTCACTCTGTATTATTGTGCGGGGAAGTTGAGTTTGCAGTCCATACGGCGTACAGACGTTTCAATAGGGCAACTTTTGTGTTTTTGTGTCTATTTGTGTTTCTCCCTTGTGATGGGACTTTGTAGAGTGAACGTTGAGATGTATAAGGGGCACGGGGTGATCAATAAGGTCTGAGTTGGTGTGTAGTGAGGTAGGCACTGATCCGGGGTTGACAGCTGTGCTGTGTTTTGGGGAGGTGTGGCAGCGGTGTGTTGTTTTCGGCATGGTGTCCCGACGTTTCGCTCCACGCCCCACGTGCTGGGAGCTCCTTCTGAATTGAACACGTCACTTTCGATCAAAGTACAGGATAGCGTTTGCCGGCTACTGTTGGTGCTGTTGTTGTAATCAACGCCGAGCCACGCGCGGTACAACCCGAGTACACACATCACAGCGACACAGCGCAACCGCGAACACTCATTTACCACACTCGTTGATAGCTTGACATAAGGTTCCATTTCATGGTATGATTGTGTATTTAAATACACATTGTCCACTCTGGTGCATTGTGGTCTCCCACTTTGTGGGAACTAAACGTCCCGTGACCTGTGGGTGAAACTGCCCCCACAGGCCATAGTAACGTGGAATTTCCACAGCTGACACAGGGTCATCCGTGGAGTTAGCAACGCCCAGCAATCATTTGCTAATGCAGAGAGACATTACATCATGACTGGTTTTTGGGCATGAATCATGGCCATGTTGCATGTGTGCACGATTGAACTTCTTTCGCACCGTACGTAGCTCACCGTGCGAATCGGAGGTGCGGGGTCATGCTTACATTACAGGAGCACATTTTACAATCTTATTTGTATCTTTCGATTCTTATATCTCGTTTGTACATTTTATTCACTCATAGATTGAATGCACCATTGGCCTACCGTTTGCGCATCATTACCACAAAACGTAAATAAAAGAATCTATAAATCACAGTACATGACACCAGTATTGGTCTTTATATAAAAAAAAAACTATTCTGTAATGGGAAAACTAGGTTTCACAACTTTAAAAAGTACGTTTTACTTTAAATCAGCCGAGTCAAGCGAGGGAATGTGCCCAAGAGGACATCTACCGCAAACGTAGAAAAATGAAATTGGCTTGCGTGCAGGCTGGGTGAATTATCGCAGGACTGTGAAAGATAGCGATGTCTTGGGAAGCCCTTCATCCAGCAGGGCATTGATCATGGCCGATGAGAATGATGAAGCCGAGTTATTTTCTCAACTTAGTGAAAACCCGGTGAAAGACAAATCTCGGTGTCTCCCCGTGTGTTGGTGGTGGTCGTAGCGATCAACGCGTTGAGTTTTGCTGTTTCTGCAGGTGCGCCGCCCGCCACAGGTGTGCATTTCACTGGCACCCCACGATAGCGCAGGAGGTGCGTGCTACGTGACGGTGGACCTCACAGTCCGCTGCCCTCCACGCTATCCGGACGAGTGAGCACCAATGCTGCACTTCACTTAGGACACAGCCCACAACACTCCCGCTTAAAGCTGTTCAGTCAAACCACGTTCACACTGATAAGCTCAGGCTGGTTACCATTACGCATTGAAGGTTGCTAGAGCAACCTCCTTCAGGTATTTATTTAAAAGTGAACTGGCAGCCATTCAGGGTTGGGGTTCCACAAAAGAAGGATTCGCTATGAACTCCGAAGCAACGGTCACACACAGCTGGACACAACGCATGATGCTTACATTTAGTTAAACTCCATTGCCGTGGTGTGAACATGTTTCACGTCACAAAAGACACTTGACATTCACTTATCCTAATGATCATATTTTAAACTTTTAAAGCACCTTTCACCCAGAGGCCACAACGTGAATAATTACATATTAAAGATACAAGCATGCAGGGTATTTATAATAAAAAAACAGTGTGAACGCACACCTAAGTGGTAATTACTTTTTTGGTGCACATGAAGTGATCTGACGTGAACCCGACATAAGTCGTTGTATGTTTTACTTTTCTTGTAGGCTCCAGAAATTGAGCTGAACAATGCCAAAGGCCTGTCCAATGAGAGTGTGAAAGAGCTGCAAGCCCAGCTGACAACCCTGGTATCTGAACTGCGTGGAGAGGTAAAACCTGCACATTTCATGAGTGCATGTGTGTTCGGAGGGTCGGCTCACAGATGTTTGTGTGGCAGCAGAATGCAACACACTGCAATTTTAATTTAGAAAGTATCCAAATATGACTGTGTTTTGTTTGATTATGGGATAACGATAAATATGATGCATTTAAATAGTTTGCTTGATTTATGTTTGGAAGTCTGGATCTGGTAGAAATTGTTCTAGTCGGCACTGCTCAATAATGCTAGTATAATTTATTTTGCTGCCATTAGGCAAGGCTTCGTGACACACTACAGTACTTGAAAGCTTTATCGAGACAGATTAAGATATATTTGGTTCACGCCGCTGTCAATTGGCAAAGAGTATATTTGCTTAACATGTGTTGCCTTGCGGTTGCAAGGTGAAGGTTGCCCTTTGGTCATATTGTCGCAACCTCTGTGTTCGTGTGCTTATGGCTTCACAGGTGATGATCTTCCAACTGGCCCATCACGTAAAGAACTTCCTGATCGACCTCAACGTGCCACCGCCGTGTTCTTTCTACGAGGAAATGCTGCGCAATCAAGCATTGCAGCAACAGAGGCTGGCTCAGGAGCAAGAGACGGCGTTCCGTGAAAAGCTGCAACAGGAGGAGAGTGAGGTCAGTGCTGCCACAGCTGCAAATAGCGATGCAGTACCATTGACATTAGCGTCAGTCGTGATTTGCTGCTGGATGGAGGCCTCCCCAAGTCGTTCCGTCTCTCACAGTTACGTAATGTAGGCATCCGTTTAGCACTTACATGAGGTTTAGGCCATGTTAATGAGATAATAGACTTCAAAGTTTAACTGTTGTCACCAACATGGTACTCGTGTGCGCTTCAATGAAACGTTAATACAGTGGCTTCACTGGAGCTCGATAATGGAAAACCTGACTAACACGACAGTGTTTACTTATTAAGGCATCTTCAGCCACGGTATGTATCTACAAGTATAAAGTATTTTTTTTATTGAGTTATGTATGCCTTCAAATAAACTTCTGACATGTTTGTATTAGAGTAATTATTATCCATGATGGACTTTTATATCAATAACTTGATACTGAAATCGATATATATAAAAGTTAGTAGTTTTGTGCGTGTGTCACAGTAACGCTCTTTCCGGCCTGTTGATTGGCCAAAACAAAATATAAAATCGGGGAAGTTTACACAAATAAGTCTTTTTTTATTTAAACATTTGAAAGTTTAATTAGAATTTAATAAAATAATTTATCTGCAATTGCTGTAGCGAAAACCCACGGAGAGAAACCATTATCACCCACAGGGGTGATTGTACCCCATTATTTCACAATTTTACGAATAAAACTTAACCTTATTGCGTTTATTTATATTGTAATTTGTTAATCATTGTACAATAATAGTTGCAGTGATTTTATAATGCCGAGTCTTGCTTTGTTTATTATGTTTTAAAGTATAAGTACCATGCAAAAGTGTTGGTATCGTTCCCCCCCCCCTCAGTGAGTGGTACATTCCAAACAGCAATGTGGATCAAAGCAGATGGCGGTAACGCAATTTAATCTGATTGCCGACGTTAATTTGGCATGACTGGACTGATGTACATCAGAATCAGAATATTTCTACTGCAGGAGGAATCCGATGAGCTGTAAAGCTCTTGTTCACTGATCTCCAGTCGGGGCACGGGGTCAGAACGTTTCAACAACAAACAGTACAAAGACACGGTAGTAGTCGTGCAAGTAAACAACTCACCCAAACACATCTCCAGTATTTATTCAAGTTAGTCGTTCCGTGCGGGTGTTTACATTCGGGGATTGCCAGAAAGCGCCTGTTTCTGTACCGTGTTGTGGCGAAGGGCGTATGATGAGTCTATGCAATGTTGATACATCGCTGCTTTTGTTACACAACATTAATGGTTGACACCTCATCAATGTCTCTTCCATTTCACTGTGTACGATTTATCACCTATACAACTTTTCTTTGTATACAGCTCAGATATAGCACACAGTGAGGGTATGCATACCTGTCAACCCCTTATCAATGCCTACCTCATTACAGACAAATTCTCAACGTTCATCGTACAAAGTCCCATTACAATGTTTTTACTCAATTTCCCTGTATAAGAATACGGGTAAACCGTATGGGTTGACAGGTATGGGTATGTAACAACATTACAGACCACACTATACAGCACATTATGTACCGTATACAACTCAGATATAGTACATGGTGAGGGTATGTAACCACATTGCACACACGTGTACTATATCTGAGCTGTATACAGGAGATAATAGTATGATGTGTAATGTTATGAACAACCTCATACCTTTGGTCAGGGTAATGGAACCCCTCGGCTATTAATTGTATCCATGTCAGTCGGCATTGTGTTTGTTGTACGTATTGGTGAGTTAATTTGAGCTTTGGGTGATCGGAGCTTTTTGTTTAAAGTGATTAGCAAAGTGAGAACCCTGGTGCTCATTGAAAGTGGGAATATAAATAAATAGATCTTTAGCTTATTTAAATCATCGCACCAACACAGCAATAACTGAGAACGGTTTAGGTCACCAGCTACAAACTGCAGTGACGATTACTGTAAGATTCTGGTTGAAAAATGTTAATCCATTGTGTAGATATTGAACATGTGGGTTGGGAGTGGGGATGGCAACAGTGATTTTTTTTTGTCATTTAACTTTGCATTGTGGTTAACACAAATAACACATTGCTATTAATCTGTTCAACTAAAAACTATGAAACTAAACAATTATGATTTTACCAGGTCAGACCCAATGAGCTATATAGCTCATTTTTAGAAGCGACCTGTCCACAAATGATAGTTCAACGAAGTGGCTGATCATGTGGAAATGTGTAGCAGCCAGATACTCTTAAACGCATGTTTCTAAATGTGGAGGACCTGGAGAAAAATCTATGCGTCCAATGTGGAGAGCATGCAACCTCCAAATATACAGGCGTCAGGATCGGAATCGAACCCACGACCTTTTGTATACCAGGTAGTTAACATCTCGCCACTGTGGCGACCGGGCTGTATTGTTGACATGCCTGCCCATCCTGGGATGTGTCTCTAATGCCAGATGCCTGTTGTCAATGCCATGTTCCCATTGCTATATAATACGAGTGTAACAGTTTGCGCCTTGGCGATTCGATGTGTCGTCACAGTTCAAGGTCTCATTTTCTTCCACTGTGGTGAATGTAGCAGCCTCTTGATACGTCAATTATCTCCATTACTTACTTACACTGCCCTTTGTCAGTGAAGTGCCGGATGAAGGGCTCTTGTGTGACTATATTTGACGACTCTTTTCAATGCGGTTTGTTGAAGGTGGGGCAGGGTGCACCCAGCACCGGTTCAGATTACTCGCCACTGATGTCAGCCGTGGCTGGGAATAAAGCTCAGGCTGCTGGGTTCATAGCACAGTACACAAATCACGGCACCACTATCCCCCTCCCCCATATGAGGTGTGCGAATTGAAATAATGGATTCTTGGAATAGTTTTGAATTGATGAATCAATGCATCATTACACATCTGTTGAATACCCATTGTTGTTGGTGTGTGTTTGATCATATGTTATAATCTTGTGTTTTTAACCAGAAACGTGCAATTGATCATGAACTCATGCGACGAGAGGAAGAGAAGAGAGAGGAGAGGAAGAGGAAGGAATTGGCTAAGCAGGTGATTGCAGTATTTAAACAAAATATTTAATTTCCTGTTTATTAACAGTCTACGGTAGTTACTGGATTTCAGTTGGAAGGAATCTAATTGTTGATTCGATGCAAATGGCCTGTCCAGTGAGCAAAATGAAGATGTATTTTGTAATATTTTAAAATATTGGCATTCGGTTCTGAAAACCTGTTCTAACAGTGGATAGCATGAATGTTCACAAACTTTCCGGCAATGTATGTGGTTTTTTCATGTTCCGTGGCGACAGTTTATTTGGAATTGTGGGTTGTGAAAAATGATGGGCAGGCATGTGCATGTCTGTAAAGAATGTAGCTGTTAGCGTGTGTGAATTAAACAAGATGCAAAGCTGTGGGTGGAAAGGGCAGTGATGCGAGTGATTGACGGCTTTACTGCTGCAAACACATTCTCTGTGTGTAGGTCGAGCCGCAGGGGAGATATTTGTAATGTGTGAAAAGTTTTCAATTAGTCAAATAATTTTCTCAATTTTGTTAAATTTCCACGAAAATGTTATATATAAAAATAAAGATTAGTTTTACTGTCATGTGACAATCGCATCGCAAAGGCTTATGGAAAAGTGCACCCACTAAATGTATTAACGATAGAAGTACCATTTTAAGGATGTTTCAGGAGTGCTTTGACGAAGCTATTTCTGAGCCCTTTTTCTGACGCACGCGGCACCCTGCGAAATTTACGGATGCAGTAAGTTGTGGGAAAAAGACATAAAAGAGGTGCACTGCTCTTGACTTGCCATCCCAGATCCAAGCAGGATGGGAGGTTGTCATGCTTGATGCAACCTGCAGGATCCACCAAGCCTCAGTCAAGGCACTAGATTATATTTACATGCCACCGTCGTCATTATCGGCTGTAACCAACTCCTAAACTAAAACTCTTTTTATTTTACCAGGTAAGGCTCACTGAACTATATAGCTTCTTTTCAAATGCGACCTGGCCACAAATGAGAGCTCAACGAAGTGGACATTTATAATAGCCAAGTACTCTAAACGCATGTTTCAAAATATTGAGGGAAAAATCGGAGGACCTGGATAAAAATCCACGCTACTATGGGGAGAGCATGCAAACTCCAAATATCCAGGCGTCGGGGTCGGGGACCGAACCCATGATCACCTGTATACCAGGCGAGTGAGTTAACACTCGCCACCATGGCACAGCAACCCACTGCCAGATTAGGCCTCTCCAAGCTTTCTCACGATCCTGCCACCATGCCTCGTCAAATGTATGGCGGTGCATGTATCATTATTTATGTTATGTTCCTGGCTGTGCATCACTCAGCAGGAGATGCGCGAGGGAATGGCGGGCAGCCCCACGAATGACGGTGGCGTGAGCGGCCAGCCATCACGGAAACCCACCGTGGGATCTGGGAATGGAGCGAGGGCGAGGGCTCGAGTCGCACGCGGAGCCGCTCTGCGAGCCGCTCCAGGTGCAGGCTCGCAATACGCGCACATGCGCTCACGAGCCTCGCTGCTGAGCCCTGCTCACCCTTTCGACGAGGGAAGCCACAGAAGACACTGTTTACTCTCCTGTGTGTGTGTGTGTGCCTGAGGTTTTTAGGTTCATTGTTATCCAGTGGTAGCATATTCAGGCAAATTGTGTGAAAAGCTGTCAAAAAGTGACAAGACTTTGTTTGGCGATGGGGTAGTAGGCCTACGTACTTTCGGAGTAAGCTGTTTGGGATGGAAAATACGAGCCAGCGATGCCTTAACTTAGCCCTTGCCACACTAACCAGACTCAAGCCCAAACCCTAGTTGTATTCACACTTGCCAACCAGATACTGGTCTTACTCTAGCCCTAACTGCATTTGCTGTCCTGACGCGATTCCTTGCCCTAGCTTCAGTCACACTAGCCAACCATGCCCTATCCCGAACCCTAATCAGACTCTCCATCTAGCTCCTGGCACGAACCCTAAAACACAAGTCCCCTCGTTCTAACAAAAGTAGTTGTGAGCACCTGGTAGCAGCCATTCCACGAAAACGAACCATAACCCCCTTTTTCACTGTTTGTTTGCTTTACACTTTTGAATGTCTCACTGCTGTGACCCAATTGATGCTGTCGTCGTGTTTTTCTTTGTCCGGTAGCAAGAGGGAGCGTCTCACATCCCTTTGCAGCAGTGACAACTGCAGCCCAGGAGCGGAGGTGCTCAAGTTCCACACGCAAGGGGAGCGCTCCGTGTACCGCGGAAAGTGCATCGGTACGTGGTGTGCTCTGTACGTGTCTTTGCTTCCGATTTTCGTTGGATGAGGTGTAAAGGTGAGTTCTGCACTTTGTGCATTTATCTACCAGTGGCTGGACCCAGCTGATTACTCACAGAGTTCAGGTTAAGTGATATTTTCACGTAGATACCTGGTCTGATAAATCAAGCTTAGTCAGGCAGTCTTGAACAACTGGGTTAATATTTAAGTTAGCAGACGAAAGTCCGTCCCTCCACATAGATTATAAATATGTTTTTTATCAGTCCATAAGCCTTCTGTAAAAACAGCATTTTAAGCAGACAAACTTGGGATTGGTTTCAATCATTTGGGTCAAATCATCAGTCAATTGTGTTGAACAAATGTTGCTATAAATACCAGCTGTTATTGGCAAGAACACTCCACTTCTGCTATGGGGCCCATTCTGTGCAAATTGTTACAATAATGTGTCATAATGTGCTGTTTTGAGTATTATTGGTATTTTCTACAATCTAGACTAAACCTATCTAAGCCGTAGCCAGCTGTAAAGCCTAGATTAGCCAAACAATGCAATTTAGCCAAGCTAAGCTAAATCAAACAGTGAAGCCAATCCAGAGAAAATCCACTCCATGTCGCTGAAAGATGTTTATTGTAAGCCATGTTACAATGTTAGTTGTGATTTTAACTTTTAAAAATGAAAAATATAGGTCATGTTTCTCAAACATTCATTTTTTCCTGAGTTTGACCAATGCCTGAAATAGTATTGATTGTAATGATGCATCGATTCATTCATTGAAGTGTCATTTTATGCTCAAGATAATGCGTAACATTGTGCATGCTTGTTGGTAAATGTTTGCATAAAATTGGTCAATGTAACCCTTGCAGCCAGTAGAGATGGATATTCTTTATCATTAGCACGAGGCATGATCTCGCCACTTGTAGATGACGACCTCCCCAAACTGTCACCATCTTTCTTGGTCTCACAATGCACAAATCTCCGTCTGCTCTGCACACAAGCCGATTTCATTGCTCCATCGCTGGTAGTGGAGGGCGTATTCCCTCCATTGGACAATCACTGCATAACGCGCTTTGAGATGCGCTTCTGCGGCCTTCTGGAATGCTCTTCCTTGCGATATTAGGAAGCCATTGGAACTGTGCACTTTTGAAGCTAAATAAAAACTAATTTCCTGCTTTTTGTGTTCGTTTGTTGTCCATCCCCCGCACTTCGGATGAGCACAGCTGCCTGTGTACAGTGCAAAAGAAGTTCAATATATATACGTTGGAAATACTTATTTTGGATAATAGTTAAAACAAATAATAAAATATTCAATTAAACTGTGATTGTGGCATGAACATTCATCGAATCGCAAGTGCAGGAGATCAATCGTTCCATGCCTATAAATAAGCCGATGATGCAGCGAGCGTTGTGAAACAACGAGGCTGGCCCTTGCTAACATGACGGTTCTGCTGCTCGGCAGGTGAGAGCACTCACTTGCGCCGCCAAGTGTTCAACGCGCTAGACAACAGCACGGGCGAGCTGGTGGTCGTGTACGAGTGGGTGCTGCGCTGGCCGGTAGGACACCCCGACCTCCGCACCAGCGAAGACAAGGAGCACATGGAGAAGTGCCGCAAGCAGGTGTGGGGACCGATGGAAGCTCGTTAGCCTGGGGGAATTAGCGGATAAAAATCTGTGGAAACTCGTGGATGATGTGGGTCTTTATAAATGTGCCTTGCCATAACGTTTGAGGCTCTGTGCATATAAGCCTCATCCCCCTGAACCTTCCACTTTGTCTGGTTGGTACACTGAACGACAAAGCCAGCTCACTGTTTGATTCCCTGACAACGCTAACATCAGTGTTTAGTTATCTTAACCAGTCCTAGACCTCTCCTTGGTCATACCAGCTTTAAACTAGTTCCGGGTGTCGATGTATAAACATCAGTACTGGGGAGACAAAGGCAGCCTGGCATGGTGCTGGCCACACGATCTTCTTTTATGCCGTAGCTGCATTTAGAGGTGCTCGCAAACAGTACTTGCCACAACAATCTATGCAGGCTACACAGGGGATCTTGGCCGTTGTGCTGATGTGTGTATGTATGCCTGCTTGTCCACGAGGTGCAAGGGGCCAGTGCAGAGTTGCAGTCGCTGTTGAAACTGCGGCACGAGGCGCTGGTGCCGTACCTTGCCATGGAGAGCCAGGAGACGGAGACGGCCCTCAACGTGCGCCTGCTGGCCGAGCACGTGTCCGGCACGAGCCTGGCCGGCCACCTTGCCCGGTGAGACAACGCGGCGGTATCCCCCCGACACTGAACTATGACCGCTGGCATCCACTCACTTAATTTTGTTATTGTTGAAGATGTCATCCCATGGTGCTGGGGATGCTACATCACTGATCATCCTTGTTCAATTCTAGGCAACCTCCTCTGACTAAACCGAGTTTTTACGTGGAGTGAGTCGACACTCTTTTGTGCTTTCAAATGGAGAACCAAGAGGTGGACAAGGATGAACCTCCTTTGGTTTACTTGGCCGAGATAGCGAGGTGGCACCATAGTCAACCATGTTCGTGTGCTTTTCTTCGTCAGTCAACTACTGTGTAATAACTTCCCCCACACTCTGCAGGATGTGGTGATTATTTAACCATACTTCACCATTCGGGTCAGTCTTGATTGGTATAGACGGGGAGCTTAGAACTGGAACATAGAACAATACAATAATGGATTTTGCTGCACATTGTTCTGCTACGCGCCACGTCGTCCCGCAAAAACATACGACACCTGTTTTATTCATGGTGGGTGCCCATTAAAGCATCCAGGTTCAACCTTGCTTACCTGCCAAGAACTGATGCAATCAGACGCATTCTGGTGATTTGGTCACAAGCTAAAGGCCAATCAGATTTAGGCTGAAACCAATCATTTTTGTTTAAATTCTCCTGCGGCAGCACTGGCCCCTTGCCGGTGGAGACGGTCCGCCAGTACGCTTCCCAGCTGCTGCACGTGCTCGACTACCTGCACGCCAGCTCGGTGGTGCACCGTGACCTGCGTCTGTCGAGCGTGCTGCTGGACTGCGCGACGGGTCTGCTCCGCGTCGCCGACTACAGCCTGGCGCGCCGGCTCGCCGACGCCTGCGTGGCGAGCGAGCGGCCCAGTCGGCCCGGCGTGCCGCGGGTCCACTTCGTGGAGCCCGAGTGCGGTGCCGGGGCCGGTGCTGCGGCGGCTCGCTCGCAGCCGCCGAAGACCGGGAAGAAGGGCGACGTGTGGCGGCTGGGCGTGCTGCTGGAGCAGCTCGCGATGGGACGGGAGAGCAACAACGATTCGCCCGACACGCCACCTGCCGATCTCCCCGTTGACTTCCGCGAGTTCCTGAGCCGGTGCGTTGCCCGCGTTCGTCCAGCGGAAGTTGGCTCCGGGTTTGGAGGCTGCTGAGCATTGCGTGCCAACACTTCCTCTCGGTGCAGGCATTCAGGATGTTATCCCATCACCATATCGGGCTTTGTCTTTCTTTCTGTTGCCATTCTTGGTGGTAGGGCTTTCCGTGAGCCTTGCATAATGTGTACAACGTGCCGCCTTTCTCTGTTTAACTACATTGATTAGTTTATCAACCTAATTACTTTTGTAATTGCATAGTTTTCAAGTTTAATGGAGGATAATTAACGTTGAGGGCCCTTGGTTTTAAGAAAGATGCCTTTCAAAAAATAAAAGATTTGGGCATGGGGAGGGGCGGGCACCGCTGATATTTTTAACATAATTTTTTACATAAAAAAATAAAAAAAATTTCCCCCGTCATTCGATGAACGTTGAAACGAGTTGCCTTGATGTCCATTGTCGTGCAGATGCTTGTGCGTGGACGACAAGGAAAGGTGGAGCACGCAGCAGCTGCTGGAGCATCCCTTCATCAAGTCGCCCGTCTCGTGCTCGCCATCCACGAGGCCACACAGTCCCGATGGTGAGTGTCTGTGTACGTGTATATGTGTACGTGTGTGTGTGTACGCGTGTGTGTCTGTGTGTGTGTGTCTGCGTGTGTCTGTACGTATGTTTGTGTGTACATGAGTGTGTGTGTACGTGTGTGTGTATGTATACGTGTGTGTCTGTATGTGTGTGTGTCTGTGTGTGTATGTCTGTGTGTATGTCTGTGTGTATGTGTACATGTGTGTGTGTGTCTGTACGTGTGTGTGTCTGTGTGTATGTGTACGTGTGTGTACGTGTGTCTGTACGTATGTCTGTGTGTCTGTGTGTGTCTGTGTGTGTCTGTGTGTATGTATGTACGTTGCACTTCTTTCGCACCGTACGTAGCCAACCGTGCTAAGCGGAGGTGCGGGGGAAGGATAGCAAAGACGGTGATGGCAGCATCCACGCACTCACGCACGCCCCAGAACTGTGTTCAGCGTTTCAGTAGATGAGAATTGTTTAGCCATCACAATGGATATACACAGACTTTGGACACATTGTGATGGTATTGTCACAGGTTGGTCCTGTTTGCTAATTTCAGGCACAATTGTCGGAAAACTTTACACGCCCTTACAGAATTGCGTGCGGTGTTCAGCTGCGTGATTGCATAGCAGCCTGATTACATTTGTGGCAAAGATCACCCTCGTTTAATAACGAATTTAACTTGGGTAACATGTAGCAATGGGGAAGTGACTTTTGACGAACATGTTGATCAGGATCCAGCCAGGATGCACTGTGGCGAGGATGTCAGACTCGCAGTCGGAAGGGCGTGCATTCTCGTCGGATCGATTCAGCAACAACAACAACACGGGACAGCTGGAAAATAGACTGGAGGGGAAAACTGATTTTCTCTGTCTTGTACAACAAGCGTCTGGCCCGTGGAGCGAAGCTGCTTATGTTTTGTTCTGCGGTGTTCACGGCGGCCGCAGATGACCTGAACTATGCGGAGGCCCTCATCCCGTCTCGTGATATCCTGGGCATGTGCTCCCACCTCGACTCGCAGCGCCAGCTCTCCCGCTACTACACCGAGTTCGAGGAGCTCGCCCTCCTCGGCAAGGGGGCCTTCGGGGCCGTCATCAAGGCATGCAAGAATTCATTCATTCATTACAAAACTTTAGCCTGTGATCAAATTACTCTGAATGAGTTTGCTCTTATGGATCCCAGATGCCAAGCAGGGCTGAGCTTCGTTGACACTTGGATGGGAGCGTGTCTGAGAACACCAGGTGTTGTGTTCTTGTATTTATGTGTGTGGAGCTGTGGGTGTTACCCCTTTGTATGAGTGGGGTGCTTTGATTTCCCTACCACGTAAAGCCAAACGTTCATGGTCGTGCTGTATAGCTGTATAGTTGTTATCATTACCATAGCGGTTTGCTCTCTGTGCAGGTGAGGAACAAGCTGGACGGCTGCTACTATGCGGTGAAGCGGATCCTGGTGAACCCAACCAGCAAACAGTTCCGCAGGATAAAGGGCGAGGTCACACTGCTGTCCCGCCTCAACCACGAGAACATTGTTCGTTACTACAACGCCTGGATCGAGCGCTACGAGCTCTCGCCGTCAGAGTGCGCCGGGCTGAACAGCGGCACCGTCACCACCACCAGCAGCAGCAGTGACAATAACAACCATAACCCCGATGCAGCGGGGAAGGCGGAGGCTGCCAAAGAGACTCCCGACGTGGCTAACGTGCGGGGCAGAGGGCCGTCGATGCATCTGAGCCGCCTGTCGGGCATCGCGGGCCTGGACGACGTGGAGGCGAACGCGCCCCCTCCCGTGACGGCGTCGACGCGGACGGTGGCGTCGGGCTCGGTGGAGTGGAGCATGTCGTACGAGCACTCGATGAGCGCACGCTGCGGCCCCTCCACGACCGGAGACAGCTCCAGCGACTCGAGCGACGAGGACGACGAGGACGACGCCGTCTTCGGACGGTCCTTTGTGTGAGTGCTTGATACGTGGTTGGAGGGGGGTGGGGGGGGATTCCTTGGCTGGAGCAGATGTTTTTATTCCCCGATTGCTGTTGAGCAGCTGTTCTATAATTGGCCAGGGAATTATAGCACACATTTGTTCGGTTTAAGCACGTGACTTGTTGCAAACATTTCCAAGAGTAACAATGTATAGCCGTTTTTAGATTATGAATTTGGGCTTTAAGGGAAAATCCATGAGTTATTAATAGCTGTCAAAATCTCAGGTGCGTGGTTAATTATATTTTAATGGTTGTGTGATTTCCTGCGACTGTGCCACCACTGATATTAGCTTTCTAAGTTTCATACATTACCATTGAGTCTTAGAATCCTAAAACGGCCTCTGCCTTGCTCTGTGAGCCTTTAGGGCATGAACAATCTATCATAACAAGTGTATAAAGGTAGCTTAATCTGATTCACTGTAAACTATTGAATCAGTTGATGTGTGTTTATGGATATGAGCAGTGACAATGACTACTCATGATGTAACGACCATATCTGTATTTCTGGCAAAAGACGCAACGTGGCAAAGCATTGGAGGGAATAACCACATGCAATGAATGTATTCGCTAAAGTACAGACCCACTCCATAGCTGAAAGCGGCAGAAGGTCCTTGGCTGTAGATTTAATCTGGTGAAGGAAACGATAATGAACGATGCGCACTGGAAGTTGTCCTGCATTGGGATGTTTGGCCGATCCATGTTGGGCAGTGTTAGGGATGATGCTCAAAGATGCACGCGGTTTTGTACACAAACCCATTGACTGTGCCTTCATTTACTGTCCAACATGCAGCCCGTGGGTTTAATAATTTCATAACTCTTCTGTGTTCCCCAACAATTGCCCCCAAAGCGATTGCTGGATCAGCGCCATATGCCAGTAAACCCAGTACATGTGCATTGGTCACTGAATTACTATCAGGACTCTATAAACACGCATTGATTGAAATTTTTACAATTTGTTGTTTGATTCGAAAACTCCACCAGCTTAAAGTTGGACCTAAAAGAAATAAACACCCCATTTGAGGTATTGACAAAATTTCTGCGAAAGCGAGACTTTCGCTTGCTCCCTGGTCTCGTTTAACAACTGTTCACGAGTTCAACAATGCCACCCGGCACAACCACTTTTAGTGCTCTCCCGTTAACAAAACACCTTTTGTTGGCGAAGCAGTATTTTGTCCGCCCACTTACATCGCAGTTGTTTTGTTTGCTCAAGTGATGTGATCTTTTCTCGGGGTGTGTGATGGGCGTTGTGCTGTCCGTTGTTGCTGCAGACCTTCGGGCAGTGATTCTGACTGCGACGTCGTGTTTGAGAACTCGGGTGAAAAAAACCAGGTGAGAGTGATGCTTCAGCTCGGCATTGAACACATATCGACTGGCAGATGTGCTTAGTCTTTATTTTTTTATTTGACGGATACATTGCCCTGCCACCTTTGTCTCCCCAGGAATTTCTTTCACACATTTTCCTCTCCTCCTCAGAGAGCAGTGGGGTATGTTGTGATTGCTGTGGACAAGATAAAAGAGCACCTTAATTATGTATTCTCAAGTTTGTGTGTGTGTGTGCGTGCGTTTATGGAATGACTACAAAGACATTTTGGCCTTTGCTTTCAGGGTGTTTATGCATAGATCTTTTGTCCATAACATCAATGAAATAACATTCGAATGGAGTAAGCCGGGTTATGGCTGCGTATGGTGCAATTTAAGTTGTAAACTGCGATTGGTGTTTGAAACGTGGAATTGCTCTCTCCAATAACCCTTGACCAGGCTGACTATTCACTCATTGTCCTCCTACGCAATTAACCGTAGCGTGTTCCGTCTCATTCTATAACACCCGTGCTCTTCACTGTTGGTTACGGTTCTGTGTGCTAGCGCTTGCACTATCCTGCAGAGTTTGGTGCATGCAGCGCACCGAGTGTGTGGTTTGAAGTTTGTTGGATTAAAAAATTAACAGTTTGCACACACGTGCAGTGTTCTTTTATTATTCTGAAAAGCGCGCACGCTCACGTGGTGGGCGCTGCAGTTGTGGACGGCTTGCTCTTAACAATGATGGATGTTCGGCGCCGTCAAATAACCCAAGAAAAATGTGACTTGAAATAAAGCCACCGAGATATGCAATTACGTGCCTTTGAGCGAGATTGGCGATCCGGTACACTTTCATAAATGTTGTTCCCAGGAGTCTCATGAGAGTTCACTGTCTGATAAAGAGTTGAGCACAAACCGAGCGCCGGTCTGCCAGCCCACACCAACAGTGGTCCACCATCTCTTCATACAGGTTTGTGGGCTGTTTCATTCAATCTCTATTGATACACTCCACTTAAATTCGCGACGTTATATATTCTTAGCTTTGTAGCGTTAATGTTAAAATCATTCCCAATGCTTTCATTCGTGACCGACTTGTGTACATCACAATGCTGGGATTTTAAGCAAGCGTTGATATATTTCACAGATGGTGAAGTATTCAGATTTTTATTTTTATTTAAGCCTCATTTGCAAGTGTAACCGGAATAAAGATTACTCTCATGGGAAATGCACATATCACAGATTGTCATGTGCAGGAGTGACACTTTTGACATGAAGGCTAATACAGATGAATCAAACTTCCTTGTTGACTGATTTACTTTCTTAAATGCATAATTTAGACCACCCACATGAATGAAGATGACAATCTGCAAGATTAGTGTATTTGACGTTTTCGTCGCTGCTTTGAAATGCCGTGTAGCGAGTATTGACTTGAATCTGTGCAAGGTGTTATCGCGGAGTGACGTTTAGTAAGTGTGTGCCTCTGCCGGCAGATGGAATACTGCGAGAGGAGCACTCTACGCGACACCATAGACAAGGGCCTGCACATGGAGACGGATCGCATGTGGCGTCTTTTCCGTGAAATCCTGGACGGGCTGGCTTACATTCATGAGCAGGTGCTGGCAACTACTGATAGCCTTCGATATGACCGTCGTCAATATCGTCGTCGTCGTTATCATCGTCATCGCTACAATCATTATCACTATTGCCTCCACGGTGACCATTACCATCAATAAAATCATGACCGTCATTACCTTTGTCATAATCACTCACCACCATCATCGTTGTCACCGTCATGACCATCTTTTAAATCACAATTACCACTGCCATGCCAGCTTTCTGAAAAGGGATCCACAGAACTTAGCACGGAGATATGTAAAATAAAAAAAATATTTCTATATTGATGAACAGCGCTTGCTGCCGTGAGTCTGTAAGATTAAATGGGGGGGGACATTTTTGTCTTTGCAGGGCATGATCCACAGAGACCTCAAGCCAGTAAATATCTTCCTGGATTCTTCAGACAGCGTGAAGATTGGAGACTTTGGTTTGGCTACAGATCACCGGCTCGTTGCAACCGTGAGTCGCATATTCGCTCACCTCTCATGTTAAAGGGTTATTCATTTCACAGCATTGTGTGATAAAAGTGAATTCTAAATACAATCTTGATGGTTTTTGTGTGTTTTTTTTAGGAATCAAGCAAGATAGATGTTTCAACTACAAATATAGAACTTCCCACGGAGAATATGGATGTAACAGGTAATCCATTGAAAACCAATGTTTGCACAATGTTGAGATTGCTTTCTTGTATAACACAGGCAATTTCGCACCTCCGATTGGCGTGGTTGGCTACGTACAGTACGAAAGAAGTTCAATATACATACGTACAATTGTAATCGTTTAATTTTGTGCACCTCTGATGATCGGCACGCAACTTGCGTGCGAGTTGTACAGGTGGGCTCACGGGGCAGATTGGCACGGCACTTTACGTGAGTCCGGAGGTTTTGGGGAACATCAAAGCGGTCTACAATCAGGTGAGGAGGGATCTTATCCCATGTGACACTGGGACCAAGGGCAGGCAGCAGCATTTGAACTAAGAATCGACTCCGATGAGTCAAAAATAAATCTCGATGAAATCTCATCGTCCTGCGCTTGTGCTGTTGAGACAGAACTGCAAATAACTTCGTGGGTAGTCGGGGTAGCTGCTTCGTGGTGAGGCTGGTTCACAAACCATTGGTACCATCAGCCGTAATGGAGGGATGTACGTGTGTTGAACTTCTTTCGCACCGTACGGAGCCAACCGCGCTATTCGGAGGTGCGGGGGAAGGACAACAAACTAAACACAAAAAGCAGTTCGAAAGGAAATGAGTTTTCAGTTTACTAGATGAAGATATTTAGAAGAAAAAAAGCCTTAAACAAATGTAACAGCTCCACTGAGGTTGCATGGCTGAAGTACCGGAATGGGAGACACGCTTTTGTAGTTATTCACAGCGGCATTACCAGATTTTTTTAGGAAAATTATATTAGACAAACAAAGGTATAGATGTAAACAATTTTATCCATAGGAATGTGGAATTTCCACGACTGTTTGATTACCACTAATGGAGATGATAATTTTAGTATTGTCCCACTTTCCATTTTTTGTGTGTTTAAAATGGCAAATTGTAAGGTTTTGAGGTGTCTGTGTTTGTGGTCTGATATTTGTAGAATTATTAAGTGTGCTATTACTACATTGTTATGTAATTAATGCATCCTGTGGTACAATGCTGCATTGCTTTAAGCCTTTAAATATATAATCACACTGGGTCTAGAATCGGGCAATGTAAATAAGCAATCGCATGTATGAGCACATTTTTGAAGAGAAAAGTTTAAAAGTGGTGGATGTAATTTCAATAAAATAAATCTTCTGCCACATTTTCTCGCAAGACAGCCATTCAGGATTGCTTGTGGGATCTCTCTCCTGCTGCCCTCAGTCTCTTAGGGCGCCATGGTGGTGAGATGTTAGCTACCTTGCCTGGTATGCAAGAGTTTGTGGGTTCAATCCCAACACTAACACCTGTATATTTTGAGTTTGCATGTTCCACCCCTGGTCACGTGGATTTTTCTCCGGGTCCTCCGGTTTTTCCCCTGCACATTTAGAAACGTGTGTTTCGAGTATTTGGCTGATATAAATTTCCACGTGACAAGCCGCTTCGTTGAGCTATCATTTGTGGTTAGAACGGTTTTTTAAAAAAAAAGCCGTTATAGCTCAGTGGCCTTACCTGCTAAATTAAAACTAGTTTAGTTGTGCAGGCAAACAGGTGCTTCAATGTGTTGCTTTAGTTTGACTTTTGCAGGATTTGACATTTACTCTTTATCGTAAGATCCCTCAACATGGTCTGGTGTGATTGAAGGCAATCCCCACACATGTTATAAACACCGGTGGGAAGTTATTTATTTTCTTTGCTTACTTAACTAATTCTTATGGTTATTTTGTATCATTATCATTCACGTGTCTTGGTAGAGTACCACGACGTGTAGTGACTTTCTCCTCGACATGTGAGATACCGTCATGGTGCAATTGGAAGATTCTCATCTTTATTCCTCTTGTGTAAAAGAGGAATTATTCATTCACAATTTATTAAACTCACATGTGCCAGCAGATTTGAATTGCTACATGTCACAACTACAGGCTTAATGTAAACCTTATATATATTTTTTTATTATGTATAGACTAAGAAGATCGGGATGCTGATGTGTGATGATCCTGCTGAATGCATACTTGTCAACCCATACAGTTTACCCGTACTCTTGTACAGGGAAATTGAGTTTTCAGGTCCATACGGTGTACAGCTGTTTCAATACGGGCAAAAACACATTTGCTTTTGTCTTTGTGTTTCTCCCTTGTGATGGGACTTTGTAGGATGAACGTTGAGATTTATAAGGGCACGGGGTGACCAATAAGGTCTGAATTGGTCTGTATAAGGTAGGCACTGATAAGGGGTTGACAGGTATGTGAAAGAATCGCCGCGCCTGTGCAGAGATCTACCAAGCGATGCATTTGGCGTCCGCCGCATAATTTCACTGCCGCGATCACAACACGCAACGCGGGTTCCAGATGAGCTTCTGTGCGTTTGTGCCACTGCCACGTGGGTGACGTAGGTGAAGGAGGCTCAGTTCAAGCGAATGGCGACTGCTTGTATGAAATGGACGTGTACGAAAGTTGACGGCGGTTTAATTTAACTATCGGATATCCATTCAAGTAAATGGAGGGTGGTGGTCAACAAACAGGGCTCGATGACGGGGTAAGGTTGTGATCTCTCACGAGTTGATAGGTCTCAATGAAATGGAACGTTGCTCGATATAATCGGTGCGGTTTGACCTCCTAAAACTTGGTCGCGAGACTCCTCCAGATTCCCCTGGGTAAATATTTAGATGTTTAATTGTCACTGAGCCGATGCAATGGACAGGCCCCGCCGCGCGCTTCAAACCGCATTTGTCGTTAGCGTTGAAGACGATTTAAACGACCGCGCTCGGAAAACGAACCGACTGATGATTGGAAGTGTTAAGCAATGCTCTCCCTTTACAATCACGCGTTGCTTGTAAACTACGGACACGGAGGGCTAACGTCCGGGGGTAAAATCCCTCGCGCCCCTCCCTGTCGTACACACATTATTGCTTTGCATTCTTTACACTCGCGGCTACAACCTACGTGACACAAAAACAAGATCCTTGGTTTAAAATTTTGACTCCCATCGTTCTCTTCAATACAACGCTCTACATTTTGGTGATGGCCACGGATAAAGAGAAAAAATACGAAAGTCAAGGAAAGGCAAACTTTAACTAGCAAAAGAACGCAACGCCGCAAAGATATAGGTCGCGATTCAGAACGAGATGAAGGGTCCTCTTGCCGTCCGTCACCAGTCTTCCCCGACTGCCGTGCTGCTGCTGCCCGTCCGTCTGTAGTGTAAGCAGGGGGTGGTGGGGATTGTGAATTCTCATGCAAAGGGTTTGATTCATCAGGGTTGTCCATCAGGTTTGTCCTGCAAGGGACCGACGGCAATGCACCGCGATCCCTCGGTGAAGTCAATCCAGCCACGGGCGCCTCTCCTCCCTCCGGCTTTGGAAAAACACGAGCGGACCAGAGTAAACAAAACGTTTCGCTCTGCTCAATCATCGTGCTGGGAAGGCGTGATTTCAGGAGGCGGGATGATGGTGGTGGTGGTGGGCAGGCTCTAGGGAAGTCGAGTTAAGTTTCAGGCATCCCCACCACTGCCGCCCCCCACCTCCTAAAATCTTCTGGCTCGCCGCCCCCCACCCTTCACACACAGCCGTACTCGTACCACACGGTCTGCTTGTCCGTTGGGGTGGAGGTGGCCTGGGGCGGCGTCTGAGCGCCGTCCTTGGGCGGTGGCGGCGTAACGGCGCCAGCGTCCGCCGCGTCCGTGCCCGTCATGGCGACCGGCGCCACCGCCTGCTGCTGTTGTTGCTCAGCGTCGTTCCTGCGACCCCGATGCCGGCCCCACCGCCACCACCGGCGTCACCATGGCGATGTCGCTGGGTCTCGGCGCGGGCCGCTGCAGCCGATGAGGCTGCCCGATGGCGGCGCCACCGACAGCTGCACCTGCGTCACCACAATCTCCTTCGCCGCACCGCTGCCCGGCGGCGATCCGATCTGCGTTGCCGTAGCCGATTTCCTGACGCTGCCCCCCGTCCCGGTACGCACCACCGGGCTGTGGCGCCGCTTCGCCGCCGCCGCCGCCGCCGCCACCACCGCCCTCCTCCTTCGCCGGGGCGAACGAGAAGCGGCGTGTGTCCACCGGCCGGCAGGGTACTCGGGCGTTAACGACTTCGCCGTCACGGCCGTGACTTTAAACGACTGCGGCCGCTCCAGCCGAGGGTGCGTCTCCTGCTGATGCACGCGCACCGCCGTCGCCGTCGCCGTCACCGCCGTCACCGCCTCCACCGCCGCGCCTCCCGCTCTACGGCAGCTGGAATTCTGTGAACCCGGCGGGGCGGCGGTTGCGCAGGGCGCCTTGTCGCCGACGGGCGAGACGTCCACCGACACAGGTCGCCGCGGTCGTGCTGCATCAGCTCCTGCACGCTGCACGAGGGCGAGCGTGCCACCCCGCCGGCCGACAAGCCGGGACGCGGCGGCGGCGGCGATGCCACGGCCCCGCCGGGGCTCCCGGCGTCCTCGCCGCGGCAGGCGGCGCGTGCCGGCGAGGCCCCCGGTCGTCGGCGAGCGGCGGGCGGTCCCGGAGGGAGAGCCCCTTGCGTGGCAGCGTGCTGCTCCCGTGCAGGTACCCGTCGGGATCCGACAATCGCGGCTGCTGCTGCTGCAGCCGGTCGAGCCGCTCGGCCACGGACAGCGCCCGGCGCTGGCCGTCGAGACCCGGTCCCGACGCGTCGCCGCTGACGCCGTCCGCGGCGCTGCCGTTGCGGGGGCTGGGCCGCACGTACTGCCCGGGTCTGGTGGCGGACGCCGTCCCGGGCGGCGAAGCCGACGCGCTCGCGCTGATGGCGCCGGTCCTGCGCCTCGCCCGTCGCCGGCCGCTCCTCCCGCCCGTCCAGGATGTTCTCCTCGCTGACGACCTTGCGCTGGAGATACGGGGGAACGCGGGGGCGGAGGTCATGTTGGAGGGTGAGGAGTGGTAGGAGTCTGCGTCGTCACGGCAAGCTCGTAAGCACGACCTGCCTGAGTGGACTGCGAGATGCGGGTCACCAAATTAATGGAGCACAGCTGCTCAATTGTGCTACGGGGTGATGCTCATTTGCAGGCCTGGGATTTGTGTCAAAGACCAAGGGATGTGTAACATTCTGACCGCCTCAATTTGGCATGCCCTTTTTGGCTTGAATTCGGCCTTTAAGTCATTCTCTGGCTGGAATAAAGCATCTCCATGCCGTGTCATTTCAGATATCACTCCGATATCGCTCGCCGCTGCTGATGTCAGCCGTGGCTGGGAATTGAAGTGAACGCAAGCAGCTGGGTTCATAGCAGTGCGTTACACACTACTACTACAGCACACGCACGCGATCACGTTGCCGGCGGTGGCGTGCAGAGTGGTGCCGTACGTACCAGGCACGTCGGCGACAGGCGGTTGCTCTCCTCCAGGAACTGCTCGAGGGTCATGAGCTCGCTGCCCGGCGACCCGATCCCTGGCTTCTGCCGCAAGCCGGGCACAGGCGGCGCGAGGGCGCCACCTGCGTGGAAATGGGCGGCGCCGGGGTCCCCGCGTCCTGGGAGACACCGGCTCCTCGCTCGCCGGGCTGTCCGGCGCGCCATTAACTGCCGAACCGCGCCGCACGTTGCACCGTTAGGCCCCTGGCTCGCTGTCGATGCGAAGCCTTTACAAATAATAATAGTCGTATTAATACCATTGCTTATTGTCGATCAGGAGGGCCCTCCGCATCGAGAAACATTTGGCCAGTTTTATCGAAGAAAAAGATTGCGTGACTCGGAATGCAGTCACAATGGCGGACGGCCATGTGGTTTTTTAACTACGAGATCAAACAACGAGAGAACGCCGCTGCCGCGGCAAAGCAGTAGCCGACTTTCATTTACGAAACAAATGAAGAGGCAAGCGGACGCTGGGAATGGGTGGGGGGTGTGGGGCACAGGGCGGGGGGGCACAGGGAAGGTGAGAGGCATTACCTCTGCTGGCCCGCGTGCTGGCGTTGTTATTGCTATTGTACTGTCCCGGCGGTTGCCGTCTATGCTTGAAGATCCGGAGGCTTGGGTGGAAGGGCGTTGATGGAGGGAAGCGGGCGAGCGGGCGGGCGAGCGGCGGCGAGCGAGCGGGCAGGCGGGCGGGCGAGCGGGAAGGCAGGTGAAGTTAAGCCAGGTCGGGAGGAGGGGAGGTAGAAGGGAGGAGGGAAAGGGGAATGGGGAACACATCACGCAGGAATGAAACAGAACTGGGAATGCATGAGTTGGACACCTGTGTAGCATCAGCAGCCTCAAGCCATGCTTTCGGCCCGAACGGAGATGGAAGGTGGGCACCCGATCGTCCAGAGACGCGCCAACAACAGCGAATCGGTGGGCTGAATCAATCTCTGTGATTTAAAAGACACAAGCCCAAAAAAAGACTGACAGCTCTTGCCTTGCAGATGTGTGCCAAGGCTGTGTGTGCGTGCCTCAGGCGAGCGACATTAGCGCTTGAAGTTTTTTCGAATAAGAAAATAAGTCTTCTATTCTTGAAGGAGCGCAGACTACAGTGGTTTCCTGTCTGGGTCCATAGTTTGGGGTTGCATAGCCACAATCACACTCCTGTGGCCGTGTCTTTAATTTCCCACTCATGAAGGAGATGTGCGCATCGGCCTGTTGATGTTCCGATGCGGCGATGGTGGCACCGGTTTGTCTTCGAGGAGGAATGTAAAAGCCAGAGGTGCGATGATGTTTGGATTCCGGATAAAGTATTTATTCTGGACGTCCGCGTTTTCCGGCGTTCTTTGGATCTGGTTGGACTAGGTGGAGACTCATCGGAACTTGAGTCAGTATCAAGGTACACTGTCGAGGCCTTGGTTGATGGGTAGGTTTGGTTGTTGTTGGCAAGAAAATGTGTAAACGCCCCTTGCAGTTTGGGCGATGTCTTCACGGATATTTGGTGGCAGAATGTTCGCCAGATCAGGGAACCAGGAGATTGTTGTTGTTTCAGCGTCCCGGTTGTGATGGTGCAGTGCGTTATTTAACTGTGCATCCAGCAGTTTTGTTCACGAGCTCCCGGGGCCCATCCTGGAGTCCAGCGACTGCCACCGAGTTAAGATCAGCGAGAAGGTGGCAGATCGTAGTGCATCAGCCGAGGGCACCCCCAGGTCGTTCCTGCAAATTCGTACAGCAGCGGCGATCCTCGACCTGGATTTTTTTCACAGACCTGTCTTATGTGGGATTTGAAGGCCCAGCTATGCCATACAATGTCCGTGTAGCGATGTGTCGCTAGAGTGCTCTCGATGACGCACTTGACCGCGATTTGTAAACCTTTCTGTTCCTCAATAGCGTACCCCTGAACATTGGTGTGGCGACATGGCGGGAAACTAAAGTCCAACAACTTTGCAACCTCGGCGCGGACCCTCCACGATAAAGCCGAGCAACGTTCCCCTCTTCCATTCGAGTCAAGCTGCCTTTGTCGCACGCCGCGGCTCAAAGAGCGCAGCACCACCCACAGTCGTGGACGGGCCCACAGCAGATCCTCCGCTCGCCGGGGCCACCTGACGCGGAACGGCTCCAGTGGAACGCTAATCCTTGTCGGACCAGTAACAACGAACAGCGCGGTCCGCTTCATGCCATGCGCAGACATCGCTGTGGAAATCGCCCTTCGTTGGAGCGGGCGCGTTGACCGATACGCCAGCCGATTGGGGCTCTTCTGTTATCAGGCGGCGTTAACTGTTAAGTGGGGAGATTTGATTACTTTGTGTAATGCGTACTCGTGCACACTGAGCTCATGCATTCCGTTAATGTTTCCTGTAATTCCAGTACCACCACAGTCTCGGCCACCCCCAACAGAACCCAGTGTCTGCTGTGGCCCACGCGCAAAGTTGGGGCACGACCCGCACGGCCGGATTAAACCACCGAACCCAAACGATCACTGGGCAGTGCACTTCGATCGGCGGCGTCGGGTGCCGGTCAAGAGCCCTGGAAATGAAAAGAAACACAAACCGCAAAAACAAACGAGGCGATGGCGCATTTGGGCAAAAGCGTTGGTAAGCGCAGACAAAGCGCGAAAGGCGGCTGCATGGGGGTGAGGGGAGAGGATGGGGGGGTGGCTGGGAGCGGGCGGACGTCCCCCCTCCGCAGCGATGCCAGCGCTGCACTTACAGCAGGAGTGGCAAGGTGCGGCGCACACGGAGGCCCCCGCGTCCCCCGCGGGTTCCATCTCCCACGCTCCGCCGTCTGGCGGGTTCGTGGAGGAGACGTGACGGTAGCGGCACACATCACAAAGGTCGCGTTCGCTGGGGTCGGCGCTCACGGGTTTTAATCGCTCGGTGGCTCCGGCGGGCGGATCGGGATGGGGAGGGTGGCGAGGGTTCGAGCGGCTCGAGTCGTACGGCAATAGATTGTGATATTGGTGCGTTATCATTACAAGAATATTCCAGGAACAAACTCTTGTTGACCGAGATCAATAACGAGAGTGGCTTTTTTTGTGTCTTTCCCTCTAGTTTTATCCCAATCGTGCCATCGGCGTAACATCACAAAATGAATCCGCTCGGAACTCGCACAGAGGAGTCTCATCGCCCCGTGTTACTGAACGGTCAATGGCAGGGATATCACAAAACTTCTTGTGAAATCTCTTCAAGTGACCTCTTATGTACACCAGTGGCAGCACTTTCCCACGCGCCCTGCTACGGAGAGAAACTTTGTTGTATGACAGTCAAAGCGAGATTTTTAATTCTCAGAGCTGGCATTTAGTCAAAACCTCATGTAACATGATGGGCACTCCACTCGTGGGTGTACTCGACGCATGGCCCGGGGTCGATTCGCACGGTTGGCTACGTACATGTCGCGCTGGACATTGGTGTGGACGAATGCAGCTCCTGGGGACTGGGCAACGCCGAATCCTCGCACGACGAACTCACTGATAAAAAAAGACAAACAAAAGCCAAGGGACGCACGCTCCACAAGGGTTTTATAAACCACAAACACAAGCTGTGCCACGCTAGGTGCGCGATGGGGTTAACGCACACGTATATATATATGTCACAATGAGTGTGCATTAAAGACATTTTTTTCAAAACATTGCAACGTGATTTACACGTTTGCCCCCCCCCCCACCACCTGGCATCTTCCCCTTTGGGCGGCGGCGCGCAAGGAGAAGGCTCGGCGTGGAAGTGCTGGCCACCATGTTGACGGCTGACGTGGAGAAGGCCATGCAGCCGAGGTCGCGCCGGCGGTGCCGAGAGAGGCCCTCGTCCGGCGCGTCCAGCGCGTCCATGCTGCCTGCACGTTGCTGCTGCTGCTGCTGCTTCTGTTGTTGCATCAATCCTGCCGGCTGCTGCTGCTGCTGCCTTTCCAGGGTCTTGGAGCTGCTGGAAATGTTAACGACGCCACCGCTGCCGCCACCACCACCTCCACCGTTGACACCGCTGACACCGCCGCCACCACCACTGCCATCGCCGCTGACGCCACCCAATTTGAGAGCGAGTAGCCGATGCTCTGGACCAGGTCGTTCATCGCTGAGCAAGTCGGGGGTCGGGAAACACGGCGAAACGAGGTGGGGGGGGGGGGGTGAATAAGGTGGAGAGAGATTAAGAAACGAGGTTGCAGTTCGGACGCCTTGCCGGGCTGTGCCGGAGCGATGGCGCCGGTGCTCTCGTCGGGCCGACGCGAAGGCGCCGGCAACGTCGGCGACGTCCGTGACCGCCGCAGAGAGAGACGCACTCTCGGCGGTGTGCCGGCATCGCTCGGCGTTTGCGATGCGCTGCCCGCCCTCATGTTTAAATGCGGGGGGGGCGGGGCGGGGGCCAGGGTCTTAAGTCGGAGCTGGGGGATCCTGGTCCCGGGCAGTTGTTTACACGCAAGCAGCCGGTGGTGATGCGCATGCCAACGCGCGTAAAAAAACGGCCCGTGTCCAATCGTGTTGCACAAATACCAGTGGCATAAAAAGATGCTCGCTGTGATCCACTAGAGAAAGAGAGCTTGTACGATTTGAAGCAGGCTACATAACCGATATTTTAAGTGGGAATGCAATAAATCACCCCTTGTAACTTGATGAACTGTAACGACTCCCGGATAAAAAATTTACCCCACAAATGCATTCGTTGTTGTTTTTTTGCCAGTGTACAGGATGAGAGCAAGATTCCATATTAATCGGCAAATATTACATTACGTCCCTAAAATAAAACTCGTACGTAAAAAAAAAATCTACGTAGTAGACGAGATATAAATTCCATTCGCTGAACCAGCCATTCAAACGACAGGAATATGAATGCGGTGTTATGACTTTTCGCCACATCAGCGATTTGTTAATTGAAAACGGTATATGAGCTGTGCCTGTAATTTACAAATCCCCCTCGGGCGTCACTCAGAATTGGATCGGCTGGTGTCCCCCCCGCCCCCCTTCTCCCTGCCCCCCACCCCTGTTAGTTACGGGGCCCCCCTACGATACCCCCGTTCATGTAACAAAAACATGATTACCACGGAGACAAAAGCGGCGGTGTGCGCGGCGCGGGTTACTGCGACAACGTGACGGCTGATTAATCGAAGCGCAGCAGGCAACCCGAGCCCCCGGGGGAGGGGGGCGTGCGCCTACATCATTCGCTCCTCCCTCCCTCCTCTCCATCCTCCTCATTCTCCCATCGTGTGCATGCAGTCTCATGCCAAAGCATGCGCCGGGGTCGCACGGCATCGCCGCCATAATCATGCTGGGTCGTGGTGGGGGGGGGGGGGTTAAAGGGCGTTCGGCGTGCAGCTGTCGGGGCGACACGTCGGTGTTGTTAGACGCCAAGACGCCGCGGCCGTACCCGGGTCTCTGGAAAGGAAGGCATCCGGAACGCTAATAAGGACGTTAAAGAGTCTTATTTGCTGGGTGGTGTTTTGCGCGGTTGAGCTGCTCGGCTTCTCCACCGTGGTTTTCGGTTTGCACGCCCGTGTTATTCGGCACGGCGTCTGACGTTTAAGAGCTAAACCCTCCACTGCTAAACCCGGAGCGCATCAGGGCCTGAAGAATCGTCGGACATCGTGCTATCCAATTACGCGGTACAAGCCGGGAACACAACGGAGGAGTGGTATGAAGAGTCCCCCGTTATCTATCTTGTTGCCAGATAAAAGGGTAAAAAAACAATTATCATATTTTGTTACTGGCAAATGAGGTTCCAAGGGAGTCCCCGTTATTTACCGGGAAAAGCTTTGCCGAGTCTCAGGGACTCCTTTTTTGAGGAGGGTCTTGCTGAGGTACGTTTGGCCAATTTTTCCACTGGGTATTTTATCGTCTGGGAGGAGGAACTAGAGCGTTAGGGTCAGCCATCTACTTCACCTCGCCGACAAAACCCAATAAAGAAAAAGCCGCAACGGAAAGGGGATGCAAGCCAACGAAGGACGACGGTCACACGGCGTTAAAAAAAAAATTAAAATGTTAATCGCAAGGCAGACAACGACGACAACAAAACCACGGGCTCCCACACATCCGTCAAAACAAACGCACGAAGAGGTTTCGCAAGCGCAGCGCGTAGCCCGCTTCACGTACACAGAGTCCACCACAGTGCGCCGAGCAGCTCAGGGTGGGGGGGGGGGGGGTTCGAGTTGGTCGCAGTCGCGGGCAGACGCACGGGGCGAGATGACGGGCGGCAAGGGCTCGGGCTGTTAGTATGGAAGCTGCTTGCAGGGTCATGCTGGGGGAGGTAGCGCAACGCAGCAGGTGGGAGGGCGGGGGGGGTGGAGGGGGGTGGTGGAGCGCCTTACACATGGATCGCCGGTGCAACGCCTTCCGCTCGTCCCTGTCCTTGGCTCTGCTCCGCAGCAGCCGTTTGAGCGTGCTCGCTGCGCGCGGGGGACGCAACGTGGACCACGGAGGGGGGGTGCGGGGGAGGGGAGAAGTGGGCGGGAGCGGTGGAGCCGCGAGGTGGTGGGGAAGGTAGGCAGGAAGGCAGAGAGGTGGAGAGAGAGGTCAAACTTTGGAGAAGGTGGCGAGGGGGTGTGGGGGGGGTACCGACAGCGAGAGCACCACAGTGGGGTGGGGGGGGTGCGGCGCGGAGTTTAGCCGAGGGGTGCCGTGCCGACCCAGCGCGGTGTGGCCTCCAGCCCGGCGAGAGAGTGAAGCGCGAGAGAGGAGACAGAGAGAGCTCAGAAATCCTTCGATGCTTAAAAACGACAGGGAGACGGTGACCTGCAAACGAGGCGATGGAGCGATTCCCTCCACCACCTTCCACGATCCCACAGATCGTCGCGATCAGATTGGTAAATGTATGCTCTTCGGTCTTGTGGTGCACGCAGAATATTTACGTTGGCATGTATAGAATTTATATTTTGCACCTCCTATGAGCACGGTTGGCTACGTAGAGTGCGAAAAAAGTTAACATACATACGTGCATATTCGTATGTATTGGTATAAATATATATCAACTGAAAATAATCGTTTCCTGTATGCATGACTTGATGGATGCATTTTATAGGCATGGCACGAGCGATATATATTTAGCAAACATTGGAACACCGTCAGCGCACGGATGTTTCGCAAGTGCAAGAATCGATTTTGATTGACGAATCGACGCCCCGTTAGGCACCGAACATCAACGGCGCAGCTGGTGAACCGTTGCCTTCCCTGGCGATGGGCGCGGCCGGGGCGGTTTGCCGGACGGTGACTCACGTGCCCGTGTGCCGGAACATCCATACGGCACAAGCAAGGGTTGAGAACATTAGCTCGGCGTCAATACCCGGAGACGGTGTGAGATAGTATTCTAATGCTGGGGTCATAATATTTTCTATTATTTTAACGCAGTCCCATGGTAGGTAGGCTAACCTCTTTAATCCGAATGATAACCCTAATTCTGACCGCGGGCAGGGTGGAGGGGAGTCGCATTGCTTGAATAGGAATTGTACACCAGGGTTCAAATAAATATAGTATATTGATCCCGGGTCCAAATCCTATGGGGTAAAAAAGTCTCACAACAGCTCGAAACTCTGATATTGCTACGCGGTGCCCCGCTTGCCCTCTTGTCCACCCGCCCTGCCACCTCGCCCGCCTCGCCCGCCCGGCGGAGCCACTCACTGCTGCTCTTGCGGGTGACGGTGACGGCGTGGGCGCCGTGAGCTCCGATCTCGTCCAGCGAGTTGGAGCCGACGGACGAGCTGTCCTGGCTGTCCCCGGGGAGGCCGTCGCCCAGCGCCCCCTCCACACTGCAGCGCAGCTGCTCCCGACCCACGGTCGTGCTGCTGCCGGCGCCGGTGCCGGCGACGCCGCCACCGCCCTCCTTCTTCGGCCGGATCAGCTTCTTCATCTTCGCCGCGATCCAGTTGCTTTTCCTAGCAGAGAGATAACGGGGATTGATGACGACGTGGCCTAGGGACGGTTTTTGAGCCAGGCGCGAGGCTCACTGCGAGGCAGGGTCTTAAGAAGTTAAAGATGTAAAGGTTAAATAGATTCAAATCGATTCAAATCGATTCCTGTGCTCGCGATGCACGTTACGTGGCACCAACAAACCGCGTGCGCGAGAATTGATTCCGATTCACGACGAGGACTATTCGATGAGACCCGACAGCATCGACATGAGCATAGGAACAACAATTTTATTTTGCCACACTGCCTTCTGCTACTCACCACGTCGTATTTGCTTCAACAATGGAAACTCTGGACTGGTTTCACTCTTCCGGCGCTCACCAGCAGTCAGCGTACAGGATTAGATGCTACTAGTTTCAACTGGCGGTGCCTCGATACCGCTGGGTTACATCTGGCTGTCCCATATAGTTTGGGTGTGGCACTGACCGTGTGGTGAGTGTGCGCTAGGGCATCTGTAGCGGCCGCGCTGAGCCCTGCCGTACCGTCGTGGCGGCGAGAGGCTGTAGAAGCGGTACTGGTCCATGATCTTCTCTTCCAGCCTCTCCTTCTGCCTCCGCAGCTCGTTCAGTTTGTCTCTGCGGCACAAGTGGCACGTGATCCCGCATACCGTGTACCGTCCACTCCCCTCCCTGCTCCATGTGCCCTGTGCAGACATTGCCGTCCAATGACTACGAGAGGTCAAAAGTCACAATGTTGTCCGTGAGACGGAGAATCTATTTAAATCTCGAGCACAGCCCCATTTGTGGTTGAAACGGCCCACGGAAGCAGATACCACAGAGCTACTTCTGAGATCCCTTCAAGTGACCTCTATTCAATGCAGCAGTAGAGGGGGCAGCACTTTGTCACTCACTCTGCCCCGAGGTAATGATCGGTCCAACAGTCAAACTAATACATGAATTCTCAAAGCTGAAGCGTAGTCCAATTAAGTGCGGAGCAAATTTAATCCGATGGGTATCTTTCGTGCGATCACTGGTGACCGGGCTGAGACAATGAATTCACTACGCTTGAGAACTCCATTAAACTGCAGATGGCTGCTTGGATTAGAACCCAGGATTTCAGCGGTACCAGCTTCGGCAGGTTGAGCCACCCCCGTACCTTAATGTCAACGGGCTAAGCCAAGGGGAACCCCTGCAAAACGCGCAGGGCCAGTGTTTTGGTAACGTACATGTACTGCATCTGCTCAGAGTGGTACTGCTCCTTGCTCTCCATGAGTCGATGGATCTGGTCCAGGAGGTGCCGGTTCTCCTCCTCCAGGTTGCCCTTGAGCTGCGATAAAAGCTGCACATGCAAACACAGAGACGGTGACCTCCTCCTTTGGCCTTGGCAGAAGAGAGCATGTGATGACGCATCAAGTCATCGTTACACAATTGGTTTGTTTATGCTCGTGACAAGATTATGAAATCTCATTTTAAACGAAAGCCTATGACATTTTGTGTGATTTTGGATCTTTTCATTTTCCATGGGTGGAACGGTGCTGCAATTGTTATTGCATCGTATGGTGAACCTGGCAACCCAAGTTTGATTCCTGGCCATGGCTTACATCAGTGGCGAGTATTTATCCAAGCCGGTCCTAGGCTTCCCCCCTCCAATTCACATATCAGCACGGAACCAGCAAAGTAAGGCATGGCTAAAAGTTCACATAAAAAAATGCTCTTCCGTTTTTAACAATACCCACGGCTTTCATTTCTCCCACAACGTGATGTCCTCACTTAGTTGGAGCAGCGGGTCCGCCCCCCCTCTTTTTTACCCCCGCCCCAACCGCTACATGCGGCTCAGTTGCGTCGGGATGGTTTTTTTGGATTTGAGAGCTGCGCAACGGGCTGTAACGGGCTCGCATTTGATAAAAAACATATAATCCATGGCTGGGATTGTGAACTTGGCGTGTGACGTCACGGCCGGTTTCCACGACTGGCCTGCTGGATCGGCCTGATTGAAAGCACACGGCTTGGTTTGATAACCGTGCACGGGCACAAGCACATGCAGTGGGAACACAGACCCCATCGGTGCTCTGAGGTGGCATCCGAGTACAGGATGGTGAGAGGAGAATGACAATGACAGCCGTCTCTTCTTACTTTCGCTCCGAACCCGTAAAAACTCGAGTTCGAATCCCACATTCGCGGCCTACATCGGTGACGAATATATGAACCGATCCTGGGCTTCCCTAGGTTGGCTCAGCCTGAAATTAGTACCCCGTGCAGTGTGTAAACGTCACCACCGGTGGGGAGACAAAGGAGGCCAGGCGTAGTTCTGTCCACAATGGGCCTTTCGTATGTGCTGGCCAACAGCACTTGCCCCAACGGCTATCAAATCATTGTCATCACGATCCATGGGTAGACAAGCCCGCAGGTGTCTACTGCACATTTCGTCATTTGTTTCCACTTTCCTTCGTCTTGCGCCAATATTCTCGAGTAGTGTAACATCTTTCTAGCACAAAATCTCTTACGTCGTCCCCAAGCCATTCTCCTTTAGGGCCTGTTGTTGTCCATCCTACACGCGTGTTCAAAAAGTGTGCCACCTTTTTCTTACGTCTACGTTGGTCACTCTTCGGGGTCCAGCTTAGATGCAGCAGTATCCTGTAGCAATACGTTTCTAAAGGCTATATAAAGGGGGAGGGGGATCTTGTGGAGGGGTGGGGTGCGGGGGGGGGGGCCGCACCTCGCACTGGTTGCTCAGCTTAGCCGAGGTGACGTCCAGCTGCTGGCAGTGTTCGCGAAGCTCCGAGTACTCGGCCTCGAGGCGTGCCTGCTCCAGGCGGCTCCCGTTGAGTTGGCTCTTGGTCGCTTTGTGATCTACCTGGAGCCCCTCGTGCTCCTTCATGAGGTGGCTGTAGGTCAGGTTCAGCCTGCGGGTGGGCGGACGCAGAGTCAGCGAGGGCGCCCGTGCCGGGGCTGGGCGCGCTTTGAGACCGCGAGAAGTGGGGAAGGGCTCGCTGCCAGTCATCTCGGTCGGCTAACTGACCGAGACGACTGGCAGCGCGCACCACCTGAACTCCCCGCCTGGCCAACATACGCAGGGTGTTACGTAGCCGCCCCTCTGCTCGGCAAGCACTACCGCGCGCACACACACACTGGCGCACGCAGACGTGTCGCGGCTCGAGCTGCCTGCACCTGTCGTTCTCGTCCGCAGCGGTGGTAGTCGCTGGCGATGGACTCGTACTTGCTGGCATCCTGCGCCAGCTTGTCCTGCTCGGCACGCAGCACGCCCTCCAGCTCCTGCAGCTGCACCTTCTGCTTCAGCAGCGTGTTGTACCTGCGGCACCGTGCACATGAAGAACGAATGGCTCACTCAACCTATGCTCAGCTCCCTCCTCGGCTCTCCTCCCTCACCCCATCCTCACCCATCCCTCACCCCCATCCCTCACCCCATCCCTCACCCCCATCCCTCACCCCAATCCCTCACCCCCATCCCTCACCCCCATCCCTCACCCCATCCCTCACCCCCATCCCTCACCCCCATCCCTCACCCCCATCCCTCACCCCCATCCCTCACCCCCATCCCTCACCCCATCCCTCACCCCCATCCCTCACCCCCATCCCTCACCCCCATCCCTCACCCCAATCCTCACCCCATCCTCACCCCCATCCCTCACCCCCATCCCTCACCCCCATCCCTCACCCCATCCCTCACCCCCATCCCTCACCCCCATCCCTCACCCCCATCCCTTACCCCATCCCTCCCCCCATCCCTCACCACCATTCCTCCCGTCCGACCGATTTAAAGGTCAGCACAAGCAGCGTGTTCGTCAAACTCACGTCTTACCAAACACATTTTTATTCAAGATCGATTGACCGGTGTTCAGTTAGACTTGAAGGACAAGCAGTCGCTGCCGCGTCGTACTTTAAGATTAAAAATCTGGGGCACGTGCAACCTTTTTTGAGCTCGGGCCACTGTGAAATATCTCCCGGCTCTCCTTGGACCAAAAATGGTAAATGGAAGCCTAGACGTTGCGTAAGCCAGAGTGACGTCGCTTGGTGGGACAGCCGCCTTGTCGATGGCCCCGCGTTCGTGTGACCCCAACTCCACCCCCCCCGCCGGTGCTTGAGCGTCGCCCAAAGCCAGGCGGCTTCCGGCCCGCCCTGTGGGCTACAAAGTTTGCACGCCCCCGACTTTAATCCCGCAACGCCAGCCCATGACAGGCGCCGTGGGGCGTCCCCGACGGCGCCGTCGAGGGGACGGACGCCAGCGGTACCTGTCCTCCAGCTCCTTGTGCTGCAGCTCCGTGGCGCGGTGCGCGCTCTTGAGGTGGCCGTGCTTGCCGATGAGCGCCTCGTAGTCGGCGGCCTGGCGCTCGTGCAGGCCCACGAGGCGCTCGTGGTCGCGGCTCAGCGCCTCGTAGGTGGCGTGCAGCTCCTCGCGCGAGCGCGCCAGCTCCTCCGCCTCGGCCTCCAGCGCCGCCTGCTGGCCCTGCTGCGACGCGTTCTGCGCCATGAGTGAGGCGCTCTGCGAGCTCACGGCCGAGTTCTCGACCTGCGCGGGGGGCCCAGGGCGACGGCGGGAGACGGGGATGGGTATGAGGACGATGGGGTGGGGGGGGGCGGCGGTGCGCAAGAGGTCAGCAGATATAGGGCACGAGCTGGGAAACGTCGGGCGTACGCGTGCATTATGGAGTGTGTTGCTTGTCTATGGAAAAAAATAATTGGCAGCACGGAAGCTGATGCTGTTGGGGCACAATGCAGTGATTGGCGCATTGCGCCGTGAACCTGGCGACCTGGGTTCGGTTCCAGGCCATGGCTATCATCAGTGACGAGTGATATCAGAGCAACATCTCAACAGGTCCTGGGCCTCCCCCATGTCTAAACACACATTGGCACTGGGGAAACAAAGGCGGGCGGGCTGGTCGCAACACCTCCTTGTGTGCCGCGACAGCCTTTATAGGTGCTCCCTAACAGCACTCTCCTGAACAGTCAACGTAGCTCTCTGTGTGGATGTGGTTGTGCGATGGGCTGTGATTGGGGTGCGAGCATTGCCTGCAGCTTGGCGTTCTGCGTCTGCAGCGCGGTGTTGTGCTCCTGCAGCGACACGGCCTGCTTCTGCAGAGCCAGGATCTGCGTCTGCAGGTGGTTGTTCTGTGACTCCAGCTGCTTGTACTGCGCCTTCAGTGCCTGCTTTTCTGCCTGTAGCGTCGCATTCTGTTGGGGCATAGGGGGAAGCAGCAGCATGGGGGGAGGTGGGGCAGCAGTCTTAAGAAAGTTTGTGTCACAGGATTCATCGTTCATCGTGTAGCAAATCAACAAAATCACGATTATTATAATAATAATTATAACTACAAAGTCACGTTAAAGATCTTGCAAGCTCAAGCGAGCTTTGGGCAGCACTTGAATCCGTTGGCTGCACCTGAGCCAGACGCTGAAATTCCACATTACTATGGAAAGTTCAGTCTCTCCAAAGAGAGGGAGTAATCGCGGCATGCGACGATTCGCCACCACGACGACTCTCGACGCGCCGTCACGGTCAGGGGGTCACGCTTCCATCCCAGAACACGTCATTCGTAGGCCTCACTGCCCCCGTGCAACAGCACCCTTCGGCGGAACATCTCGCTCCGCGCGACATCTTTAGCGGCGGCCGTGCGCACATCCGCGCGCGGAGAGAGAGAGAGCACGGACGTACGTTCCTCTCGATCTCGATGAGCCGGTCCTTGACGCGCAGCAGTTCCCGTGTGGCTTCACGCGACTCGCTCTGCGTCTGGCTCACGGCGAGCGCGTCGGCGCGCCGGCCCGGCAGGGGACTGACGCCGCCGCCGCCGCTCTTGCGCTCCTCCTCCTCCCGCTGCTTCAGAGCCTCGTAGTTCTTCTTCACCTGGTTGGGAGCCACAACGCGGGCACGTCAACGCAAGTCGCATCCGCTCCTCCTCTCCGTAAGCTCGCGCGTGCGCGTGCGCCTGCCTGCCGACGGTGTCTCTCACGCCCGGACGGTGGTGACGTCACCTAATCCGAAGGCAAGCGGAGGGCCCCGCTGAACTGGCCGCCGGGTTCTGGGTCGGAGGAGTCATAAAGTCCACTCCCCCTACCTTTCGGGTTTTAATCTCAACTTCAAATACGTGAGTAAAAATCCTCACTTGCCCTTAAATGACCGTTGTACAACCTGAAGAGAAATGTCGCCGTGGGGAATGTAATAAACAAGATAAATAAGAAAAAATACACCTCCCTGCCATATCTGTACCTCCACATAAAACGAAAAACACAAAACATATTTTTTACACGAACCATCAGCCATAGAGCCTACTGGGGGTAGCGCATTCATTCAGCAGCAACGGTTCACCACAAGCAAATATCTCTGCCACTGGTTTTCGTTACTCGTAATAACTTCTTTTTTATTCAAAATGACCCAAAAAGTTAGGGGGGGGGGTGGGGGGCGGATCGAAGGACAAGGCGCCGTGCTCCACAAACCGTTTTGAGCTCCTGCCGCAGCTGCTGGTTGAGGTTGGAGGACTCCTCGAGGCGCGACTCCAGCGCCGAGATCTTCTCCTCCCGCAGCTCCAGCGTCTTCTTGAGCGTCGACTCGATCCTCGACTCCAGGATCTTGTACTTACTGCTCAGCGGTTGCCGCGACCACGGGAGGGGACCGTTAAGAGCTCGCACCGTGACGGCGGCAAACCAAACGCTCGGAGCTCTGCACGAACGCATTTGACTTTCCATCGGTGCGCCGACGTCTCCCGACAAACTCGTGCAAGCCAATCCTACTGCCCGAGTCTCCCATTGAGGTACGAACCATGCGTCGTCCTGCTTTGAACTTCCGAGATGCAAAGAGATCGGCGCAATCGGGCTGATTTGGTTGCAGGTGGCGGAAGTGGTGATGGTCGTGGTGGTGGCGGTGCCGTTGATAGTGAAGGTTGTGTTGCTGGTGGTGGTGCTGATACGATGGAGCTCAAGTCAAATGTATTTGTTGAACAAGGGTGATCACTCCCTTTCTCAATGTGGGTGACGGAGTTCATGCTGTTCAAGGTGGTGTATGTAGGAGACAATTTTGGTTGTAGATGGTCCTAGGAGGGGAGGTTGTTAAAACTAACAAATTAAAACGATTTATATTTTACCAGCTAAGGCCCACTGAGCTAGAAAGCTTTTGCAGAAGCAACCTGGCAACAAATGATAGCGCAACAAAGTGGCTTATCGTGTAGAAATGGAAAGCTGACAAATACTATAAATGCGTGTTTCTGAATGTGGAGGGAAAACCGGAGAAAAATCCACATGATCACGGGAAGAACATGCAAACTCCAAATATACAGCAGGCATTAGGGTCAGGATCGAACCCACGACCTTCTGCATACCAGGCGAGGTAGTTAACATTTCTCCACCACGGCGCCACCACGATGCTTGTGGTGGTATAGGTGTTGTAGGTGGTGCTGTATTGTCAGTGCTGGCGTGAGCGGTGTTTGAGTAGGCGACCCGTGGCACCTGGGTCTGCCCCGTGACCTCCTGCCAGCGGGCATTCGACACTTCACGTGGCCGCAAGGTGCACATGGCCTGGCACAAGCATCGTGGTGACGTCACCGCCACTTAGTGGCGAATGGCGGTTGTTGTTGTTGCGTAGGCATTGTAGTGGATGGTGCATGTAAGCTTGTGCTGGCTCATATGGTGGTGTGCGAGCGTACATAGGTGGGCAGCAGCGCTGGCGTAGATGCTGCTGTTGATGGTGGAGGTACGCACAGGAGCCAGTGGGGGAGCGGTGGCGCGTGTGCCTTACGTATCGTCGTTGCTGTGCGCGTCCTGTAGCAGCCGCTCCTTGTTGAGGCCTATCTTCTCCAGCTCGTTGCTCAGCTTGTCCAGCTCATTGCTCAGCTGCTGGCCCTGCAGCTTCTCGGTCACCAGGTCCTGCGCGCCGCACGCACCAACCCGGAACTCGTACAAGAACTCCAGGATGCTCGGTGTATTTCAAACATGGGCTGCAACCAATCGATTTATCAAAATCCTGGGTGTGAATCCCGTATTAAGCCACCACCGTGATTATACCGGTGAATTGGGCCGATGGCCTCAGGCCATCCGATGAATGACTGCACGCAAAAAAAATCACTACGTGCCAAAAATCTGGCTCTGAGATGTATCGATATGATAAACCCTCCAGGTCTAGGAATATTTTTAAAAATTAGTTTGACTGCTATGTGAACATCCCTATCGTAGGCCAAAGAGGAAAAATGCATCATCCCCAAGTATAAAAAATATATAACACAACGTAACAGTTAGCATGATTATGGAGAATATCACAAATTAGATAAGCAAACTAAATATCATTTGAAGTAATCTCAGAAATAGTTCTGCGATATCGCCTTCTAAGAGAGTTCGGTATGGATTCTTCATCTCATGCCACGACTCCTGGTTGCCCAACTGAAGTCAAAACAAGCTTTTTAACGCCCTCCCCGCAACATAAATTCAAACGCGACGAAGCCAAAACACGCAGGATGCCGCCGGCGCATCGGCCCGACCTCTCGGAGCGTCGCCAGCGTCTTCTTGCCGATGGTGACCTCCTTGAGAAGCTCCTTGCTGTCTCGCTCGGCGTCACGCAGGCGGGCGCAGGACTCCGAGAGACGCGCCACTTCGCGCGACAGCGAGCGCCCGTTGACCTCCAGCTCCGCGATGCGTGCCGCCGCCTCCTCCGCCACGGCCTCGCGCACCTCCGCCTGCTGGCGCAGCCGCCACACCTCCTTCTTCAGCTGCTTGCGCTCCTTCTCGATCTGTGCCACTTCGGCCTCCAGCGAGCGAGCCGCCTGCTCCGCCACCTCCAGCCGGCGCGCCGACATGCGCAGCTCCTCCACGCTGCGCTGCAGCGACTGGTTCTCCAGCTCCATCTCCTGTGCCGGCACAGCCACGGCAATGTCACCTGACCCGTCACGGAACGGCTACATAGCTAATCAGGTTGAGTTAAACATCGTTGTTTTTACTCTGCGGGCCTAGGCAGGCCAGTGCAGATGCATGACGGGCCGGTGTGGCCAGTCCAGCTTTCCCACCAGGTACTCCGTGAAGGATAAGTCAACCGAGGGCAGGCTCGGCACAGGTTCGGATATTCGTTATCAATGTTAGTCCTGATCGGGAATCAAACTCGGGTCGCTGGGTACATAGCGCGATAACTGCCACACTACCGCTCTCCATGCCCAGCCACCTTTATCTCCGTTTACAGCACCCAGTTTCGACCTCACTATACTGGATAGGCTTCACGGGTTCATAAACAATGCAGCTCTCACCGATTCTCCCCAGTCGAGCTTACCCCCCTTCCCCCCACCAACTATTCCAGTGATCCATGTGGCGATAATGGCAAGCACTCTCCGATCCTTCTCCCGCGATCGCCCGCACGCACGCACCTGCAGCTCGCACTCTGTCTGCGCGGCCTTCTTGCTGGCGGCCTCCAGCGCCCGCTGGGTGCGCTGGCTCTCCGTCTCGAGGGCCTGCACGCTGGCCTCGAGCCGCTCGGCCTTGCGCCCGGCAGTGCGCAGGCCCTCGAGCGAGCGCCGCAGCGTCTCCTTCTCCTGCTCCAGGTCGCGGTTGTCACGCTCGGCCTGCACCAACCGCGCCTCGGCCGACTTCAGCGACTCGACGGTGTGGCGCAGGGCGGCGTTCTCCTCGTCCAGCTGCGCGTTGTCCTTCTCCAGGCCCTCGAGCTGCGAGCGCACGCCCTGCAGCCCCTACATGGGAGCGCGTGCCAGCACGAGCG